CTTTCCTTCTTAGCTTTACTCCACCATGTTGCCCTCCCCACGGGCCACAAAGCAACTGGGCCAACCAACAAAGAACAGTAACCTCTGAGACCCAGAGCCAGACTAAGTTGATGAGTTTGCACGGTCTGTCACATGATACAGAGCTGCCTGGCACACACAGAGTCCCTCACCCACCCTCCCTAGGCCAGTCTACAACCACTGGTCAAATGTCACTGAAGACACTGCAGTGTCTTCAGCTTGATTTCTCATTCATTAGATTTATTGAACAATTTTAGAAGTCACAGTTATGACCTTTTCATCTCTGAGTCTTCTGGGTGTCCCCACGGTCCTCGAAACATGTGCAGTGCTTAGCAAAAGCCAGTGAAAGATTTGAGCCACTCAGAAGAAGGCTATCTTCTCTAAACTCTCTACAATTTGGCATTGTTTTCACTCCCAGATCTCTCCCCAGAAGGTTAGAAAATCTAATAAAACTCTCTTCGGGAGGTCTGGGGGAGGATGGAATATGCATTACCTCAGGCGTTTGGTGGGCACTACAGCATTCGGGCAGCACATTAAAGTCAGAGGGGCTCTTTCCTTCTCCTGATTCCACTGGCATTTGTTAACTCTGAGCATAGGGATGGAGATATATAGAGACAGACAGACAGACAGAAATATATAGATAAGCCAGTAAAGATAGACGGATGGTCGAAGAAGTGAAAACTGGCAGGGAACACCATGTGTCATGGTGAAGAGATGAAGGATGGGAAATCAAGATTGATTATAACTCATAGAAGCCAAGTCTAAAGTGATCCGCGCAGAGAGGACAGTCATCAGGAGTGATCCATGCAGAGGGGACAGTCATCAGGGAACTTGGGAATTAGCATTTTCCTTGGGCGTTGGTATGACTGAGGATTTTTTTCATTAATTACTAATTTTATAAACACTTAAAATAATTGCACTATATTTATTATTATTCATGCATTCTGTGCACGTATTTTAAATGCATGCTTGTATTCCGCAATATATGTATAAGGGTCAGAGGAAACTTTAGTTGAAATCATTTGATTCCTTCCACCATGTCGATTCAGGAAATCGATCCATGGTCATCAGGCTTGAGGACAAATGCCTTTACCCACTGAACCATTTTGTCAACCCTAAATTTTTCTAAAGCAAAGATTCCTCATTCTCAGTGCTTGTGACAAGGGAGGCTAGAGAAGTCAGGATGGGCCATGGGTGCTTTTGGCGAAGGGAAATGTAGATATGCCTATGCCCATATGCTCAGAAATTCAAGTTACAGCTACAACAAACTAACAGGTGGCGGGGTCGTGCATTTCCACCAAGTTCCAGCTCTAGATATGTGTTGAGCATATGCCCTGCAGTAATGTTGTTATAGATGTGGATGATTCCTGCAGAAACCAAGCAAACCAGCTCCTTCAGGTGCCTGGAAACCTAGGATTGTTGAAAGCAAGGCTTGGAGGACAGACATAAAAGGCAGAGGACTCTCGTTTACCCACGGCCTATGCTCTGCCCTGCAGGTGCTGTAGTTTCCAAAGGATCCTGGAGTGACAGGGAAGCCACTACCTGCCCTCCTAGCACGTAAACAAAGGGAAGACAGAGCAGGGGCCTGGTCTAGCATCTCTGGGCTTCCTGGTTGGTCAGGACTCATGAGAAAACAAACCAGGTCAATGAGAACTAATCTGACACAGAGTGTGGTCATTAATCCAGCCCTACTGTCCGTGCCAGGGATAAAAATCCAAATTGCAAGAAATATCCAGTTCAGCTTGTCTTCTTATAAAAATGCTAGATATGGCTTGGGCTGTGGTGGTGCACACCTTTAATCCCAGCACTTGGGATTCCAAGTTGAGGCCATCTGGTTACACAGTGAATTTCAGGACAACCAGGGCTACACAGAGAAACCTTGTCTTGAAAAACAAAAACAACAAAATGCTAGGCATGGAACTGGATTTTCTGTTTCTTAGTTCACGTCCCATGAAATTTTATCTCCATATTCAGTGCTGTATGTGGTAGGTTAAGAGATGGGAGAGAGTGGATTACCAACGCATTCAGCATCTCCTTGGCATTGCTGGCTCCCAGGAAACTCTTCGGCCAGCCTCTGGATCCATGGAAAGGCGAGCCAGGGTCATGCTCCTCCTTTAGGGGTTGAGTCTTCCTTAATTCCATCTTCCCTGTCCACAAGATTAATAGGAGTCATGTCTTGATATCAAAAGAACAAGGCACCAAATGAGGCAGAGAGATGGGCACAAAACAAGTATTAGCTGTGATCCATTGGCGACAGGTACAGATGACGTCAGACTCCATTTCCATCTACCCCCTCATGAAAGCTGTTTCAGTGGCCTTATTGTAGAGAATCACCACAAGTGGCAATCCTGATGTTTCACCTCAAAAGTAACAAGGCTTTCTAGAGAGCTGCCTCCACTCTCCTGTCAAAACCCTAGCTGTGTGGAACATGGAGCCCTTCACAGGTGGGAAGTCTGTGACATCAGACCCTCAGCTCTGTGAAGACTGAGCTCCCATGTCAGGTCTAAATATATCTTAAAGAAAATGGCTCAGTCCTCCCTTTGGCAAGGAGCCATTGACTGGGTTCTTAATTCATGTAGGGGTGTGTGTAGACCATAGCAATGCGGTCTTTTCTCACTCGGGGATGAGCCTGCCGCTGTGTGATTCCGTGAGTGCAAGCACGGAGGAAGGATGTGATCTATGTCCTGTGGTCTGTTCCACATGAGTGTTTGAGTGACTGTCCCGTGAGCTTTAAATGCTGGGCCCCTGTGGAATACGTAGACCCAGATGAAGCACTGTAGGATTGACTCTGTGGCTTTCCATCAATTCCCAGCTGCAGGTAGCTCATCTGCCCATGGACCATTTCTTACAAGAATAGCAAACGTGAGTGAAGATGCATGAACCCGTGGCTAAGTGTATTCCTGACAGTGTCTCATTCCTCATGCAGTCATCCTAGGAGGCAGGTGCTAGCTTCTACTGCCATCGTTGTAGATGGCAGAAACCTAGCCCCTGGTAGGGAAGGAATGACTTGTCCAAAGTCACACAGAGTGGATGGCATTGCAAGGATTTAAGTCTAGCATTCCAAGTTCTATTCTTCCTATTACTGGTCCCTGGAGCATGCACAGTCCCAGCCACACATACTTCTGAAGCTTCTGCTGGTGGAAATGAGAAAACTGATGCCGAGGTTGGGACTAGCACACAAGGGCGACTGAAGGACACCAGCAGGGAAGGAAGCAGCCAGTGGCGCCCTCCCTTCAACTCAGTTCAGCTTCCCTTCTACAACCAAACCCAGCCTCTGATCATGGTAGTCACAGTTCTCCATGAACATGAGATCGTCAGGTCTCTATGAGAATGTCTACTCCCCAGAAGCATAATGGAAACAGAAGTCCCCAAGTGTGGGGAAAGGAGTGTGCGAGAGTAAGGCAGGGGGGTGTCAACTTCCTGCAGAGACATGGGGGAGCTTTTCTCCTTGGACGTCTCTCTCCTTCCTGGACCTTCAACACCCCCACTAGATTCTTGCTCTGCAAAATCTGGCCTTTGCTTCCTGTTGTCGTCCACCATTTTAACTGGAGTCTTTTTGAAGCAAAAATAGCAAAGGGGGAAAATTACCCTCATGGCCTGATTTAAAAGCATCACTGAAACCACAGCCAGTGGGAACACCTAGGGCTCTGTGTCCAGTGGGAAACTCATGAGGATGAGGCTTCATAATAACCACAGGAGCCTTTTTAATGGTTTCAAATGTCACAGAGGCCGGAGCCCACTACTGTAGCTTAAGATGTATGCACCAACCTCAAGGACAAATTGAGGTGATGTGGTGGGCATGTTTTGATGGGGAGTTGAGTGATGATTGAGTTTGAACTGAGGTAGTATATTTGTAAACACTAATGTGGTTGGTTCAAAATGAGATATTTAAATGCTTCTCTTGATTTTATTCTTCTTGGGTCCTGGTGTTGAGAACACCAGTTAGGCCAAGAGAGCAAACACATCTCAAGTAGATGGAGTCTGTATTCACAGGGAGATGGCCTTGATTTTTAGACTCTACTAGATGACTAGAAGAGCTGCAGAGGCCAGCAAGACCCTCCTAGAAGATTCCAGAGATGCAAGGAACAAAATTATCCTTCCTGGTGATAGCACCCCACCGTAGTCCACAACAAGACAGTGATCATGGAGATAATGAGGAGAGGATGACAGGGAGACTTAAGACAGCTCAGAGAGGAGCCTCCTTTGGTGAGGGACATTGTGAGCCCATAATTTGCTAGCTCTGTGAGCTCCAGTGGTGTCCTGCCTGTATTCCTTACTTTTCTGTTGCTGTTATGAAATAGCAAGCCAAAACCAATTTAAAGAAGAAAAGAATGGTTTGGGCTGACGGTTCCAGTGGGACAGAGTGTCGAAGGCATGGCAACAGAAGCCAGAAGCAGAGAACATCTTCATGGGGGAAGCAGAGAGAGAACAGGAAGTGGGGTCAAACCTCACAGTGACCTCCAGTGACACACTTCCTCCAGCAAGCCTCCATCTTCTAAAGGTTCCATAACCTCCCCCCAAATAGCCCCGCCCACCAAGGACCAGAATTCAAATACATGATCCTACGGGGACATTCTTATTGAAACCACCGCAATGCCAAACTCCCCGGCTACAGTGAGCTCTTGGCGATTTCTAGCACGGGAGAAGGGGTGGAGAGTGGGGAGGTCATTTGCCCCTGACTTCCTGCTTGGGTCTTTCTGGTACCCTTACAAGGACTTGCCTCCCTGAACCCTACAGGGAGGAAAGAGGATCACTGTGCTGTCCTGTATGTGAGTGACCAAGACTATAAAGAAAGCAAAGATGTCATTCAGGGAAATCATAACCCAGAATTCTGGAATTTTGTTTAATGTCATTTTCCTTCTAGAATCACTTTATTTTCCTAAGTATTTCTGAGGGACTTTGGTCAGTAGTATCTGATGTCTATACATTTTCTGTGAAGAAAGACCACTGTGTCAAAGGACAAAGGCACTGGGCCACACATCTCCAGGGCTATCTTTTATGTAACATTTTCTTCAAAGGGGCCACATGTATTTCTCCAAAGAGGAGTTTTTCCAGGTGATATTCTATTTTGTGAATTGTTTACTTTGTTCAAAACCAGGATCCAGGACACTAGGTATTCCATTGTGAGCCAGGTCTCCCGCATCCCTGTCTCAGGGAGCTTACAGTCCAAGCTTATCGCTAAGCTGTGCTTGGTAATTCCAATAAACAAGGTAAGTGTGGGGTGTTTTTGGAGCCAACAGGCCACAGTTTAGGGTCCTTACCAAAGGCACACTGTGTCTGGTTACAACTTGACTCATCGGTGAGAGAAGAGAGGTCTGGAGGGTGGTTAAGCCAAACTCTGCTGTTTGCTCATCCCTTGGGTTTTTCTGGTAAGTAACTCAAATACATAAGAATGTTGTTGGTTGCCGGGCGGTGGTGGCGCATGCCTTTAATCCCAGCACTCAGGAGGCAGAGGCAGGTGGATCTCTGTGAGTTCGAGGCCAGGCTGGACCGACAGCCTCCAAAACAATACAGAGAAACCCTGTCTCGTAAAAACCAAAAAAAAAAAAAAAAATGTTGTTGGTCTCTGTAGAACGTTCTTTTACATACAACTTGTATGGAAATTAAGGCATTAATTCTAATAAGTTTTTACTGGATATCTTAGGGTTTTACAGGTTAACTTACTATATGCAAATCTAATCTTTTTAAAGTCTACATATAATTTTTATTTTTTGTCTAATATTTTGGGATAAAAAAATAGGAAGTTTAGGAAGAGAGACATGACTAAGTTGGTGAAATTCTTGCCATATAAGCATGAGGATGGGCATTCAGAATCCAATACCCGTGTAAGAAGCTGTGCGTGATTCCAAGTCCTGCAATCCCAGCAATGCGGAGGCAGACGCAGAAGAGCCCTGGAGCTTACTGGCCAGCCATTCTGTCAAATCAGCAAGTCTCAGGTCCCAGTGAGAAACCCTGCTCCAAAACAGTAAGACGGGAGACCAATGGGTAACATAGGTGGCACAAGCCAGGCTGTGGAGGCTCACACCCTTAATCCCAGCACTCAGGAAGCAGAGGCAGGAGGATCTCTGTGAGTTTGAGGCCAGCCTGGTCTACAGAGCTAGTTCTAAGACAGCCAGGTCTACATAGTGAGTTCCAGGACAGCCAGGGCTACTTACAGAGAACCCCTGTCTTGAGAAAAAAAAAAGAAAATGTCACAGAGGGTAAGGGTGTCTGCCTGGTAACCTATGTAGATCCCCAGAATCACACACACACACACACACACTTTATTTTCCGCTAGATAATCTGACATGTCCTTCTTTGTGGCCTAAATGCACCTCAGTCAAACTTCACATGTTACCCAGGAGTTCTATCTCATACACCGTGATATGGTAAACAGACTTTTGTTCACCACAAATATATATTGCAAAATCACAGGAGTGAAATAAACCAGAGTCCTCAGTCCTCCCTCTCCTTTTGTGAAGGGAATCCCCAACAGCACAATCCAAACCAAGCCAAACGGGGCCATTCTCCTGAGTACCCCAGGAGGAGCCATTGAATTGTCAGCCGTGACCGGTGAAATGTCATTCAACCGCAGATTCACGGACAAAGCCAAATGGTTCTTAGCATAATAACGGCTAATGCTATGTAAAAGGCGAGAACAAAGCATTCCTAATAGGAAGGATGATCTCTCTTTTTTTCAGGACTGTAGAGTCTCCAAGGAGAGGGAAACCTTCCTGCAAGCTCTGTGCTGATGCAGCCAGCAGGCAGCCATGGCCGAGGATGCCAGACTTTCCTCTCCAGTCCCTCAGAGCTTCTCCTGGCAGATGCTCCATTTCCTAACGTAGGCAGTAAGGCACATGTGGGAACAGGGTGAGCCCCTGAGCTCCTGGGAGAAGGCGTGGGGTCTCCCGAAGAATGGTGAAGATGTGGGACAAAGGACTTGGAAAGACGACGTCTATGCGTGAGGGCATCAAGGAGAGAAGGCCTAGATGGGAGGAAACGAAACATCAGTACCTAATTCCCTTCTCCGAGGCTCAGGCTTTGAAGGGTCTTCCCTCCGGAAGGGTAGCGGAGCTGACCAAGTGCATGAAGTGTCAGTCTCTGCCCCCCCCCCGTGCTGCTTACTGTCTGAGGACATGCTGACCCTTCAAGGGAGGCGTTGGTTTACCTGCTTGGTGCTCCTCATATTGTCTGAGGGATGATGCAGTAAGCAGTTCAACCAAGGACCCCAGGCTGCACCATTCCTTGTTGGAGATGCCCTTTGTGGTAGAAAACATGAGAGTCCCTGCTGTAATCCAGCCACAGGAGCCTTGAGTGCATCAGAAAACAGCAGACACGGGAAGGGACCCGTAAGCCACCAGAAGATTGACAAAAGCCAACTCCGTGCCATGTTTATGCAACTCTGGCTCCTGGCTGGGGAAAAGGCCTATACTGTGCTAAATTACCCTGACAAAATCAGCTTCAAGAAGGAAGGGGTTACTTAGGCTCATGGCTTCTGATGGTAAACCAAAGCAGCTGGAGCCTGAAGCACATAGTCACATGACCTGGGCAGCCAGGAAGAAGAGAGCAATGATGTCTGTGCTCAGTGAGCCTCCTCCCTATTATGGGCCTAAACCTAAAGAATGATGCCACCCTCATTTGGTGCCAGGTGGGGGGGGGCTACCCACCTCAACTAACGTCATCAGGATAATGGTTCATAGACATTCTCAAAGGCTAACCTATTCTAAATAACCCCCCACACATGTCCCTCGTAGCTTGCTTCCCAGGTGAGGTCAGACCTTGTCAAGCTGACAATTAACATTTACCGTCACAATAGCCATGCTCACTAGCTGGCACATTCTGAAGGAGTCAACCATCCTCAAGTCAGCTCTCCAGCCTACTGACACATCTAGGCCAGACAGCTTGGGAAGTCAACATAGCTTATTCCTCTCTTTGATTCTTCACAGTAATATTTTAGAGGTGGGCATCTGTGGTTCCACTGTCACCAAAGAAAAAAACAGAGACTCCAAAATGGCTGCTGCAGAATCTGCCAGTTGCTAACCCAACAACCATCTCTCCTTTGTCCATCTTCCTAATCAAACCTGGACTTCGCCTGGTATCTAAACTTCTCTGCACGATTGTACCCTTCAAGAGTCCCATGACCAGCTCAGCAAGGAGGAAGAGGACACTGTGGCACATGTCTGGCGAATGTCTGGCGAAGTGATGTCTGGCGAAGAAATAAAACAAGCGATAGATTTCTAGAAAAATGGGAAATGTTGCGGCATCATCAAAAGAGTTTCCAGAACATATTTTCTTTCTGATAAAAGAAACGAACATTGTTAAATCTGCATGGAATTTCTGAAAATCCTGGCAGCCAGGTTTTGATGGTGGGGCCCCTAGGTTAAAAGGCCCAGGCTAGCCCACTGAGGAAGGTGCACTGGTAAGCTGCCAAACTCAGCCCTCTGTGGTTATTTTAAACCACAGCTTACTAATACAGAATATTATATTATACTCCTGGTTCTTTTGGTGACTGGGTTGAACTTCTCTTTATTGCAGCCTCAAACACCCATATGGGCAGAGGAGGAAGGTTACTTGTCTGAGGTAGGCCAGGTGGGAAGTCAGGAGTGTAGCTAAAAATTCAACTTCCAGGATTAACTCCATCTTACACTCTTCTCTGCAGGAGGGGAACACAAAGTGAGAGCAACTTCACAGGATTCACTAGGCGCTGTCCTCAGAGGAGAACCTCCGTTAGGCATCTGTCAACTACCCAGTACTAAAAAAATGTTTTTGAATCTCCAGGATAACAATTTTTAAAGAATACAGAACAACCCTTTCTCTTCCTTCAGTATTTTCCCTCTCTAAAACATCACAAGTGATTCTTATTCTGCCCATAGTGTCAAGATAACAGGATTTAATTACCAAATTTATATACCACCAGCATGACACAAATGCATTGGCCTGAAATAAAACGAATGCAGTTATTTTAAAAAAGAGAAAAGAAAAGCTGCATCAATATGGTGACGGCGGACGCTGAGATGACAGTTTCATTTGCTTTATCTCCTTGCAGGAAGCAGTTAAGCTATTTCAAAGAGATTATTCGGTTTTAATGATCCAGGGCATTAAAAGACATTCTTTTAGCAATACTGACACTGTACCTCAGGTACAGAGGTAATAATTCAAGAAATAACAGCCTGGCTTTCCCCTCCTCTTTCCTACCCCCAAAGGAGGGCCCCACCCCCATCCCCCGGGTCTCATCCCCCATCCCCCCACCCCCCCACCCCCCCTTCCCCAGTTAGTCTATTCTCCACTTAGTGCGGGCCTCTGATTGAGGAGGTCAGGGCATGCTGTCCTCCTGCCAGTCCACGGAGAGCCTCCTAAGCCGGGACTCTGCAGCAGCTTCCATTCTCCGCAGTGGGCGCCAGCATGGGTGTGGAGGTACCGTCTTGAGATGCAGAGGAAGGCTGGGTGGTGGTGGCGCACGCCTTTAATCCCAGCACTGGGGAGGCAGAGACAGGCGGATCTCTGTGAGTCTGAGGCCAGCCTGGTCTACAAAGTGAGTTCCAGGACAGCCTCCAAAACAATACAGAAAAATAAAAAATTATTTAAAAAAAAAAGAAACCAAAGATAGAGACATTGCCTAGTTCTGAAGATCCACAGAGAAGGTGTATCTCACTCAGTCAGAGAAGTGCTTCTGATGCTCTAAATTCTGGACTGCCACAGAAGAGGCCTCTTGAAGAAACAACAGTCACAATACTTACATGGACACATGTGGCAGCGTGCTGGAGATCCAGCCTAGGCAGTAAGCACACTCTTCACTGAGCTACACCTTCAGTGACAATCTAGAATTTTAAACTTGGAAATTAAGGATCGAGGCAGCGTCTTCATCTTGCAGAGGCTAAAGACCAGAGAGGGGAAGTTAAGGCTGGGAGGTAGTAGAAGAGACAAATAAGACCAAACCAAGGTCCCCCTCCCCATGCTCCTGGATTCCTCTAGAAGGGAATGTCAGCCCTGGAAAGGGTGAACTTTGAACTTTGCACCTCCAGACCAGCAAGCATGCCAGTCAATCCCTTACCCTGCTCAGGCATGCATGAGTGACCCCCTCTTCCCAGAGGGCAATTTCTCTTACATCTTTGAAGATTTGGTCTGCATTCCAAATCCAGTCAGGACTGACTTAGTATCCATATAAGCCACAAGCTTCTGATGTGATTCACAAGAGTTCCACTCTAGAGATGTCTCCGTGGAAACATAAAGAAAATAACAACTTGGTTAACCATTTTCCTAATAACCATTTTGATGCACAGTTGAGTTTTGCAGTTCTGAGTACAGTGTTTGGATACAGCTTCAAAGGTCATATCCATTTGAGACAATTTTACCAGCTAACATGGATGGGGCCTTGGCTCTTTGTCCTCTGGGACATTCCTGGGGCAGGCAGCTGGGAGAGTCCACTCAAAGTCTTGATCTTGTGGGAGCTCAGAACACCAGCATCTGGGCTGTTACATGTGCTCAGCTGAGGGCAGCAGGCGGCGGGCAGCAGGCGGCATAGCAGCTGCTAGCAGACCGCATGGCAATAGCGTGGAATACATTTGGAGGCTGTGGGTGAAGGAGTCATGCCCTTGTCCCAAAGACACGGAGCGCTTCCTGGGCACACAGATGGCAGGTAAGGTAACTTGTGCAGAAATGAGAGGTAGACCAGGAAACTGGGAGTACTACAGGCACTAGATCCACAGAAGCCAGAGAGGAACACACTGCTGCTTGCTGCGTTACTGCTATTGGAACTTATCTCCTGCAAAGGTCCGTGTATTGGGTGAAGGCTTCACACCCAGATCAGTGCTGTTGCCCGCAGCTGAGGAGATGCTTAAGAGTTCTAACGGTCCTCACAGAGGACCTGAGCTGGGAATCTCAACACCCACCCATATCCAAGGGCTCCCAACCGCCTGTAACCCCATCTCCAAGAAATCCAATACCCATGTGGTTGTTTCAAAGAAAATGACCACCAAAGCGAGTGACACTATTAGGAGGTGCGGCCTTGTTGGAGGAAGTGTGTCACTGTGGGGGCAGACTTTGGTTTCAGACCACTTCCTGCAGCCTTCGAGTCAAGATGTAAGAGCTCTCGGCTCCTTCTCTAGCACCGCGTCTGCCTGCTTGCTGCCATAAGCCTCTGAACTGTAAGCAAGCCACCACAATGAAATCTTTCTCTTTGTAAGAGCTGCTATGGCCACGGTGTCTCTTCACAGCAATGGGAACCCTAACTAAGACAGTTGCCTTCTGGCCTCTGCAGACACCTGCACACGCTTGCATACTGACCAACAGACATGCATATAAGACAGAATAAGGTGGGGCTTGGCGGAAGGCCCTTAGGTCCCTGGAGGCATTCCTTGGAAAGGATTGTGGACAGTGGAGAAATGACCCAGCGCTTAAGAGCACTGGTTGTTCTTGCCGAGGATCTGGGTTGCGTTCCCGGATGACTGCTGACAACCATCCATACCTCCAGTTCTGGAGGATACAACTACTTCTGACATCAGACACGTGCATGGTGTCCTCCAGTTCTGGAGGATACAACTACTTCTGACATCATCAGACACGTGCATGGTGTCCTCCAGTTCTGGAGGATACAACTACTTCTGACATCAGACACGTGCATGGTGTCCTCCAGTTCTGGAGGATACAACTACTTCTGACATCATCAGACACGTGCATGGTGTCCTCCAGTTCTGGAGGATACAACTACTTCTGACATCAGACACGTGCATGGTGTCCTCCAGTTCTGGAGGATACAACTACTTCTGACATCATCAGACACGTGCATGGTGTCCTCCAGTTCTGGAGGATACAACTACTTCTGACATCAGACACGTGCATGGTGTCCTCCAGTTCTGGAGGATACAACTACTTCTGACATCATCAGACACGTGCATGGTGTCCTCCAGTTCTGGAGGATACAACTACTTCTGACATCAGACACGTGCATGGTGTCCTCCAGTTCTGGAGGATACAACTACTTCTGACATCATCAGACACGTGCATGGTGTCCTCCAGTTCTGGAGGATACAACTACTTCTGACATCAGACACGTGCATGGTGTCCTCCAGTTCTGGAGGATACAACTACTTCTGACATCAGACACGTGCATGGTATCCTCCAGTTCTGGAGGATACAACTACTTCTGACATCAGACACGTGCATGGTGTCCTCCAGTTCTGGAGGATACAACTACTTCTGACATCAGACACGTGCATGGTGTCCTCCAGTTCTGGAGGATACAACTACTTCTGACATCAGACACGTGCATGGTATCCTCCAGTTCTGGAGGATACAACTACTTCTGACATCAGACACGTATGGTGTCCTCCAGTTCTGGAGGATACATCTGACATCATCAGACACGTGCATGGTGTCCTCCAGTTCTGGAGGATACAACTACTTCTGACATCAGACACGTGCATGGTGTCCTCCAGTTCTGGAGGATACAACTACTTCTGACATCATCAGACACGTGCATGGTGTCCTCCAGTTCTGGAGGATACAACTACTTCTGACATCAGACACGTGCATGGTGTCCTCCAGTTCTGGAGGATACAACTACTTCTGACATCATCAGACACGTGCATGGTGTCCTCCAGTTCTGGAGGATACAACTACTTCTGACATCAGACACGTGCATGGTGTCCTCCAGTTCTGGAGGATACAACTACTTCTGACATCAGACACGTGCATGGTGTCCTCCAGTTCTGGAGGATACAACTACTTCTGACATCATCAGACACGTGCATGGTGTCCTCCAGTTCTGGAGGATACAACTACTTCTGACATCAGACACGTGCATGGTGTCCTCCAGTTCTGGAGGATACAACTACTTCTGACATCAGACACGTGCATGGTGTCCTCCAGTTCTGGAGGATACAACTACTTCTGACATCAGACACGTGCATGGTGTCCTCCAGTTCTGGAGGATACAACTACTTCTGACATCATCAGACACGTGCATGGTGTCCTCCAGTTCTGGAGGATACAACTACTTCTGACATCAGACACGTGCATGGTGTCCTCCAGTTCTGGAGGATACAACTACTTCTGACATCAGACACGTGCATGGTGTCCTCCAGTTCTGGAGGATACAACTACTTCTGACATCAGACACGTGCATGGTGTCCTCCAGTTCTGGAGGATACAACTACTTCTGACATCAGACACGTGCATGGTGTCCTCCAGTTCTGGAGGATACAACTACTTCTGACATCATCAGACACGTGCATGGTGTCCTCCAGTTCTGGAGGATACAACTACTTCTGACATCAGACACGTGCATGGTGTCCTCCAGTTCTGGAGGATACAACTACTTCTGACATCATCAGACACGTGCATGGTGTCCTCCAGTTCTGGAGGATACAACTACTTCTGACATCAGACACGTGCATGGTGTCCTCCAGTTCTGGAGGATACAACTACTTCTGACATCAGACACGTGCATGGTGTCCTCCAGTTCTGGAGGATACAACTACTTCTGACATCAGACACGTGCATGGTGTCCTCCAGTTCTGGAGGATACAACTACTTCTGACATCATCAGACACGTGCATGGTGTCCTCCAGTTCTGGAGGATACAACTACTTCTGACATCAGACACGTGCATGGTATCCTCCAGTTCTGGAGGATACAACTACTTCTGACATCAGACACGTGCATGGTGTCCTCCAGTTCTGGAGGATACAACTACTTCTGACATCATCAGACACGTGCATGGTGTCCTCCAGTTCTGGAGGATACAACTACTTCTGACATCATCAGACACGTGCATGGTGTCCTCCAGTTCTGGAGGATACAACTACTTCTGACATCAGACACGTGCATGGTGTCCTCCAGTTCTGGAGGATACAACTACTTCTGACATCAGACACGTGCATGGTGTCCTCCAGTTCTGGAGGATACAACTACTTCTGACATCAGACACGTGCATGGTGTCCTCCAGTTCTGGAGGATACAACTACTTCTGACATCAGACACGTGCATGGTGTCCTCCAGTTCTGGAGGATACAACTACTTCTGACATCATCAGACACGTGCATGGTGTCCTCCAGTTCTGGAGGATACAACTACTTCTGACATCAGACACGTGCATGGTATCCTCCAGTTCTGGAGGATACAACTACTTCTGACATCAGACACGTGCATGGTGTCCTCCAGTTCTGGAGGATACAACTACTTCTGACATCAGACACGTGCATGGTGTCCTCCAGTTCTGGAGGATACAACTACTTCTGACATCATCAGACACGTGCATGGTGTCCTCCAGTTCTGGAGGATACAACTACTTCTGACATCAGACACGTGCATGGTGTCCTCCAGTTCTGGAGGATACAACTACTTCTGACATCAGACACGTGCATGGTGTCCTCCAGTTCTGGAGGATACAACTACTTCTGACATCATCGACACGTGCATGGTGTCCTCCAGTTCTGGAGGATACAACTACTTCTGACATCAGACACGTGCATGGTGTCCTCCAGTTCTGGAGGATACAACTACTTCTGACATCAGACACGTGCATGGTGTCCTCCAGTTCTGGAGGATACAACTACTTCTGACATCAGACACGTGCATGGTGTCCTCCAGTTCTGGAGGATACAACTACTTCTGACATCATCGACACGTGCATGGTATCCTCCAGTTCTGGAGGATACAACTACTTCTGACATCATCAGACACGTGCATGGTGTCCTCCAGTTCTGGAGGATACAACTACTTCTGATCATCAGACACGTGCATGGTATCCTCCAGTTCTGGAGGATACAACTACTTCTGACATCAAGACACGTGCATGGTATCCTCCAGTTCTGGAGGATACAACTACTTCTGACATCATCAGACACGTGCATGGTGTCCTCCAGTTCTGGAGGATACAACTACTTCTGACATCAGACACGTGCATGGTGTCCTCCAGTTCTGGAGGATACAACTACTTCTGACATCAGACACGTGCATGGTGTCCTCCAGTTCTGGAGGATACAACTACTTCTGACATCAGACACGTGCATGGTGTCCTCCAGTTCTGGAGGATACAACTACTTCTGACATCATCAGACACGTGCATGGTGTCCTCCAGTTCTGGAGGATACAACTACTTCTGACATCATCAGACACGTGCATGGTGTCCTCCAGTTCTGGAGGATACAACTACTTCTGACATCATCAGACACGTGCATGGTGTCCTCCAGTTCTGGAGGATACAACTACTTCTGACATCAGACACGTGCATGGTGTCCTCCAGTTCTGGAGGATACAACTACTTCTGACATCAGACACGTGCATGGTGTCCTCCAGTTCTGGAGGATACAACTACTTCTGACATCAGACACGTGCATGGTATCCTCCAGTTCTGGAGGATACAACTACTTCTGACATCAGACACGTGCATGGTGTCCTCCAGTTCTGGAGGATACAACTACTTCTGACATCATCAGACACGTGCATGGTGTCCTCCAGTTCTGGAGGATACAACTACTTCTGACATCAGACACGTGCATGGTGTCCTCCAGTTCTGGAGGATACAACTACTTCTGACATCATCAGACACGTGCATGGTGTCCTCCAGTTCTGGAGGATACAACTACTTCTGACATCAGACACGTGCATGGTGTCCTCCAGTTCTGGAGGATACAACTACTTCTGACATCAGACACGTGCATGGTGTCCTCCAGTTCTGGAGGATACAACTACTTCTGACATCATCAGACACGTGCATGGTATCCTCCAGTTCTGGAGGATACAACTACTTCTGACATCAGACACGTGCATGGTGTCCTCCAGTTCTGGAGGATACAACTACTTCTGACATCATCAGACACGTGCATGGTGTCCTCCAGTTCTGGAGGATACAACTACTTCTGACATCAGACACGTGCATGGTATCCTCCAGTTCTGGAGGATACAACTACTTCTGACATCATCAGACACGTGCATGGTGTCCTCCAGTTCTGGAGGATACAACTACTTCTGACATCAGACACGTGCATGGTATCCTCCAGTTCTGGAGGATACAACTACTTCTGACATCAGACACGTGCATGGTGTCCTCCAGTTCTGGAGGATACAACTACTTCTGACATCATCAGACACGTGCATGGTGTCCTCCAGTTCTGGAGGATACAACTA